TGCCAATCATTGAGCGCTGCAAGCGCCATGACTAACCGGAACGTCTCATACCTGACAACAGGAGAGAATATCTCGTCATAGTCAACACCTTCGACTTGACTGAAACCCTTGGCAACTAGGCGGGCACGTTTTCGGCCATCAGATTTTTGGTCAAAGACCCAGCGACATCTGATAACCTTCCGTCCTTTCGGGCGGTCCACAAGGGAATAGACCTTGCGCTGACGAAGTGCCTCTAACTCGTCGCGGCAAGCATCAATCCAACCTTTCTGTTGTTCAGAAGGCAACCGCTTGATATCGCGGAACGTCCAATCGCGAATTTTGGACGTATCAGGTAGGTTCTCATTTGGAACCGCTTTTGACAGCAGCGCCGTGATGAGCTCTACTCCCCCTTCCCGGCATAGCTTCTCCATGCGTGCATCCTCGTCTAGATCATCAGAAGCACCCGCGTTTGAGGAATCTGGTTGCGAGCTAGGGCCGGGAACTCCTGCATCAGCACCGGTTGATGGTTGAGATTGGGAGCTACCCTTATCTTCACCAACATACCGCTTCCATCCTCTGCTGTTCTGAATGTCACGGACTATATCCGTAGGGGTACGCTTTTCCCCATAGACGTTTCCTGGACGTGTAGGCACATTCCGCTGGCGTGAAGACCTTCGAGGCTCAGGAGCTGGTGAAGCTTCCCGACTTGGTCGTGGAATTCTACTTCTACGAGTCCTCTGAGGTTCATCCCGACGCTCTGGCGGTGGGTCCTGACGATTATGACCGTCGTCACCATCATCATTTCCCTGTACGGGAGGTGGTGGAGCCGGATCAGATGGCATGGGAAATGGAAAAGGATTATCTCCATATAGCCAATCTTCTCCGTCTACCTGTGGTGGATCTTGTGGATTCACTGGGTCATCACGTTCTGGAAATTCCTCTCCAACAGGAACGTGGGGTGGTCGATTGCTGTCAGGACAGCGGGGGAACAACTCCTTGTCGAACAATGCCTTGGTGGCGACGAACGTGGAATTGTTTGTGCGCATGAACAAAAATCCTTTCACACCATCAGGAATGCCCAAGTAGGTCATCAGCTCCGATTTGGGCGATAACTTGTTGGCGCGCTTCTCATCAGGGATAAAGACATATGCGGCGCAACCAAAGACTCGGAGTTCGGAAACATCCGGTTTTTCCTTGTGAAGAGCTTCAAATGGAGTTTTCCATTTTAGACGCCTGATAGGTGTCAAATTGTAGATCCGTGTCGCATGTTTGATAGCGAATTCCCAATATGAATTAGGAAGACAGGCAGTGAAGCGCATGGCTTCTGCCTTATCCATGATCGTACGATTGAAGCGTTCGGCATGCCCATTCTGCTGGTGAGCATATGGAGCACCCTTCTCCACTAGAATTCCTTGTTCCGCGAGAAATTCTTCCATTCCCATCCCCATGAATTCTCCCCCATTGTCAATATGCCACTTTTTGATGGTGACATTGAACTGGTTCTTGACCATCGCAATGAAATTGCGCATAGCCTGCTTGGCATCGGATTTCTGCGCAAGGCATACTGTCCAGCCATAGGAGAGTGCTTCGTCGAAGAAGCTCATGAAGTAACGGTACTTGTGATAAGACACCGTGGGAAATTGTTTGAGATCCGAGTGGATCAAATCAAACGGATTCTCCGCTCGTTTTTCGGAAGGCGAGAAGGCACGTTGGTGCATTTTCCCTTGCGCGCATCCTTTACACGGTCGGGTTTCCTCGGGAAATACTAGGTCTTCTGGAAAGCCCTTGGTATTCTTCTTTGCCTGACGTAAAACGTCTTTTGACGGATGTGCAAATCGCCGGTGCATGATCTCATAATCCACCTTGTAAACAGTGGACATGGATCGCACTGTCTCAGCCGTGCTAGGCTTTGACATCAGGAAGTACAAGGCAATGTCCTTCCCTAGAGTTCTAAACTCCATGATCGAGAGTGGGGACTTCCCTCGATGTAAGCTGATCCGCGATTCGTCTCCACGAACGCGAGATCCTCCTTTGAGTAAGGAGCCCAAAGACATGAGACGACCATGTAATCCTGGCACTAGGTACACTGGATATATCTGAGAAGTCACCATTGTCTTTTCTCCATGCCTTGTGACGTAATGATCGATGAAGGCTGTTCCTCGACCAATAAGGGCAACACGTGTGTTCTTATCAGCGGTCTGAGCAACAATAGGATCTGAGAGCTTCTCATATCCGACCAGATCACTAATCTCCGATGTCACATGGAGAGATGCACCAGAATCGAGAAGCCATAGAGGCCCTAATTCATGATGATGATGTTTCCCCTTACACTTAGAGCAGGCAGCAAAATCGGAGTGCACACAGAATAGATTGGTACAAAAATCATGCGAACGTATCATCAACGAATTTAGTACAGAACCCGGGGCGGCGGTGATTACGCGCTCTGGCTGTGAGCAACAATCAGAATTGTGCATGTGCCCGAGAAGGCAGGGTACTTGCCTTTCGGTGGAAGGAGCGTCCATCTCCTCCAGAAGGGTGTTGAAGTCGACGACTTCATCCCAATTGACCGGTTCAGCCTGGGCGAACTCGCTATCTCCAAACAGAAGATCCAGATTGTTCTGTTGGCCGGTGGCCATCTCGACGTTGGGGATCTCCTCGATACAACTGCGTTTGGCAGGAGGACCACCATCCAGCGTGTGATTCGAGCCGGAAGCAACCGGAGATGGAGAACGCATGATTGCGTCCTCGCGAAGCATTCCTTTCTCATTGACAATCTTGTCGAGAGTCCGGAAGCGTTCTGCAGTTACCGTCACATCCATCTTCTTGGCCAGCTCGAAGACCTTACGAGTAGGCTTCTGGAACTCGGTGTCAATCATCCCATTGTTGTTAACGGGAGACTTCTCTTGAACCGCGCGGATTTTGGTTCCATCGCGAGAGATGTGCGTGACATGCGAGATCGTCGGCGCAGGGATAGACGGAGTGAGCGAGGCGATCGAACCAATAGTGAGGGAGCCAGTGATCTCGGAGACTCCATGGACATGACTGTGATCAGCCTTGCCCTTGCCCTTGTTGTCCTTGTTCTTCCCACTGCGCTTGCCTCGACGGTTCTTCTTCTTTCCATCAGCCTTATCACCCTTATTGGGTGCAGAGCCAGAGCCCTGTTGCTGATTGGTGAACGAAGGGTCATCGCGCTTGCGCTTGGTATTGAACTTGGCCACATGATTCTGGCTTTGAGACTGCTTCTGAGCGAAATGCGTCAAGAGAGCGTCACGAACCGCCGAGACTTTGATCTCGTCCTTGTCATAAGTCTGTAGAACAGTCTCCGTGACAGAGGGAATCCGGGCTATGTTGAGAATGATCATCGCTCTGAGGAACTCAGGGATGCTCAAAGACTCGTTCTCCAGGCGAGCGAACGCCGTAGTGATCACCAGCAGCTGTGGATCAGGGTGCAACCCCACGTTGTACTTGGCGTTCAACGCGGTTTGGAAGTACGCGTACAGGTCGGCGCACTGAGCACCACCGTATTGGGTCTTCAGGTGCTCCCAGATCTTGGCAGCTGACACTATGTTGGCGGTTGGAATGTTGGCAATGACTCCCTCAGTCAGGCGCAACTTAATGCTGCCCTTCGCCCTGAGATCATCATGCTTCCATTGTTTGATCTCCGATGCGTTGGTCACAGAGCCATCCGTAGCCTTGACTTCGGTTGGCGCGGTCTCAGTCAGCACATATGAGATCCCCTGATGCTCCAGATAGGACTCCATAGTTCCGGACCAGACAAGCCAGTGCTTTCCATCAAAGATGGAGACAGCATTGAAGATGTTGTTGGAGTTGGACGACATGTTAGATCTGTGTGAGTGATCAGCATCAATCTAATCTGATAGATAAAATCAAAGATAAAGATGATCAGATCCTCATAGATCATAATCTCCTTTAGAGATCGATGCATCTGGATCAAGCGATGTAATCGCGATCCGGCATGGTTTCACCAGCGCTATGCAGCAGCTGAAGTGAATACAGATAGGCTAAAGACGCTGCTCATCGTTGCAGCCAGTGACGGCGCATACAATGAATGTCGCGGCCACTGAGGCGCAGACATAGCTCTCGGGGCCCATAACCTGTTGAGCACTGGGGAGAGCGTCTAGCAGCTCACCTGTGTGAGTGAGAGCTTAGTGTGGGCACTATGCGGGAGTAGTCAAGAGACTTGGATTATAGGGTAATAGAGCCCTCCTTATATACAATACAGGGGGCTATTTGTGTCTATTTAGGACGAGTCGACATGACTCTAGATGACACGTGATGGAGTCATAAGATGTGTATCACGACATCCATCTGACAGATGATAAGATCATCATTTGATCAACAGCCTTGCATGATACTTGAGGGATAGCACACTTGCGAGCGCAGCTTGCCATTTTACAGAGATGCTTGATACCAATAGATCTAGTGCAGTACTTTTGATGAGAAGTTGCAGCTTCGCGTTGTATTGACCATTTCTTGAGCTTCAGAGGACGGTTGTGGAGGACGTTTGCGGAGGTTGCAGGAAACCGAGACCAGAGAGCGCGTGTGATCTTGAGTGATTGTCTAGAGAAGAGGTGTGTGTGATTATGTGACATCACAGAGTCACCACGCTTTCGTTCACGTTTGATCCATTCAAGTGAGAGTGCAGAGAGAAGGGTAGTTACTACATGGATGTACTACCAAAGTCTGATGGAATAGAAAAACTAGGTATTATCCCCATGGACGCCCAAAAGTCTCCGACTGGGGCTTGAGATCCTGTAGACGTTTGCTGTTGCATTTCAGACTCCGGCTCAGGTGTTGTCGCAGATGACAAAGTAATCTGGACGGGATTCCCTGGAACAAGCCCTCGGAACTTGCTCTCTGTCATAGTTCGGCCACTTTTCATCTTATCATCGACGATCTCATCTTATCTTGGCACGGATTATCTTATCACGGATCACGGCATCTGACGGTCTGGGCTAGGGGTCTAGGGGTATCTTTATCGATTCGAGGCTGCGCGACATATGCTCCGGAAGGTTCTACTACAACCCATGACCAGCGTTCCATGCGGTACATAGTCTTATGACTCATTAGTTGTAGATATGACTCAGACTGGATTTGGGTATAAATACTGTAGCTACTCGGTTGTATTCTCCAGTCTTCGAATTCACTTCTCTTTTCGACTTGTTTTTGGGTTGATTGTCACATAATTCGAAGACTCCCCTCATACCCTCCTACCTCATACCTCTTACCCTGCATCCTGCATTGCTACGCCCGCTATATCCCTTTAACCCTTACCACCCCACTCACCCTTTTACCGAATCATTTAGTCGTCCTCCACTATTGCAGTGAAGGGTTCATATTGAGCAAACAGCACCAGGCCACGGGTAACGTTGAGCCCGACCCAAGCCTTACGGTAGCTACAAGGAGTGCTGCGGAGACCTTCGGGAAAACGCACCTCGGGATCATCGGGCACGTGAAGAGCTAGGCCCGGGATCTTTTTGCTAGCAAAAGAACCTTTCCTCGAGTGCTTGTACAGCACACGAATCCACCATTTCGTTCCAATTCCCATCGTCATCCGGGAGTCCGTCTCCTCCTCCCATCCTACCATCATCGCCCGATCTGGCATATCAAAACCAACCGGGGTCCTCCAATCCCTACCTCGCCCTCCCGCCGCCTGAAGACGAGATCCCCGACCTTGACGAGTTGCCCTCCGAACAACCACCCTTGCCCCCACCTACCACGCCTGCTCGTACCATGTCAGGACACCATCGCATCACCCTCGCCGCCAACCCTCCCTATTTCGATGGGGACAAGACCAAGTACATGGGCTTCGTGGACTCGTGCACCACCTACATCGGCGCATACCGGTCGGAATTCTCGCTGGATGAAACCAAGATCCTCTTCATCCTCTCCTACCTCCGCAACAAGGCTGGCACAAGCTGCGCCGCCTCGAGATGGGCGATGAACTGGAAGCAGCGCAACTTCGAGAGCCTTAATGGAATAAAGGCTGGGGTCACCTCGGCAACCTTCTTGGAGGAACTACAGAAGGCCTTTGGGGACTCCAATGCGGAGCAAGTTGCCGCCGCTCGACTCATGGCTCTGCGCCAGAATAGACGATCCTTCGCGGATCATATCTCCGACTTTGAGATGCTGGCTGCAGACGCAGGGTACAACGTGGTCACCTCCACCGACAGCAAGGGCGAGTACAAGAAGGGGGATCAGGACAACATCCTCATCGAGTTCCTCGAGCGTGGACTGAGCAGCGAGATCGCAAGCCGCCTCTACAACACTGGTGTTCCCCTGCCCAAGGCGTATGGCGCCTTCAAGGACTGGTGCGTCAACATCGAGGCAAACGCTCTGCGCGATCAGCTGCGCAAAGCGTCGCATGGGCACTCCACGCCACGACCACCTCCCCCATTCCGCCCACAGGCAGCCCCAACAACACCTACACCCGCCCCGGCCCAACCCGCTGCCAACGAACCGGTCCCAATGGATATCAATCGCACCCACGCCCGCGGCCGCAATATCATCTGCTACAACTGTCAGCAGCCGGGCACATCGCGCGGAACTGCCCGTGTGACAATCAACCCAAAAACAAAGTCGAAAAGAGAAGTGAATTCGAAGACTGGAGAATACAACCAAGTAGCTACAGTATTTATACCCAAATCCAGTCTGAGTCATATCTACAACTAATGAGTCATAGGGCTATGTACCGCATGGAGCACTGGTCATGGGTTGTAGTAGAACCTTCCGGAGCATATGTCGCGCAGCCTCGAATCGATAGAGATAACCCCTAGCCCGGACCGTCTGATGCCGTGATCCGTGATAAGATAAGTCGTGCCAAGATAAGATAAGATCGCCGATGATAAGATAAAAAAGAGTCGAGTTATGACATTACCCCCTCTCTAGGGTCGATGTCCTCATCGACTAGGCCGATGGGCGTGAAGACGTTTTCGTAGGGATCGAAGAGTTGTCGCTGGGGGTATAGAAGGCGCTCGTCTTTGGGTTTGTAGCGATGGATGAGATAATCCCAATGTCCGGCTTCGAAAGTTGGCAGGAGGCGAATGCGTGTGTCTGGGTTGGATTGTTTCCTCTGCCAATCTCTCAGGATCTTCTTCGCGTGGGTAAGGTGTCATGATGGTTCCCAGGTGTTCTTGCTGTGCGGCCATCCCTTCCATTTGACCAAGTACTGTTTCCCTCGGCCGACTTTTCGCTCTTTCACGATTTCTTCGACTTCCCACTCTTCTGCTCCTCCGATCATCTTGGCTACAGGCCTCTTCTCTCGGCGATGGGGGGGTGGTTCGTGATAGGGTGTCAATAGTGACTCGTTGAACACCGGATGTCTTCGGTCCGTGTCTGGTAAATCCAGCTTCCATGCAGCCGCTCCAACCTTCTCCAATATCTCGTACGGTCCTAGTCTCTTGTCGCTCATCTTCTTTGATGGTCTATCCGTCTCGATATTTTCCCCTTCTATGTACACCTTCATCCCAACCTTCAACTCCGGAACTTCTTTTCTTTGTTTATCGTAGTATTTTTTCATTTTTTCATTTGCTTTTTCTAGTGCTGCTTTTGCTTTGTCTTGTATTTCTTTGATTCTTTTTACAAATTCCTCCGCCGACTCGTTCCTTGACTCCATCCGTTGCTCCACTCCCTTCCACGGGTGATATCCGTGATTAGCATAGAACGGCGACATTTTGGTAGACGTGTTCATTTTGTCGTTGTATGCGAACTCCGCCATTCCCAGCCACTCCGACCAGTCCGTCTGATGGTAGTTGACGTAAATGCGGAGATAGTGTTCGATCTCCTGATTCATACGCTCCGTCTGCCCATCCGTGATGGGGTGATATGCGGTCCCCGGGTTCATTTCCACGCCCAACATCCGATTCGTCTCCCTCATGAAGCCCTTGATGTAACGCGAATCCCTGTCGATGATGATCTTGCGAGGGATCCCGTGGTAGCGGAAGACTCGGTCCCTGGTTAATCGTGCCACTCCTTCGCTGCTGATGTCAGTACTAATTGGTTCGACATGGATCATTTTGGTGAAGGTGTCACACCACACATGAATTGCGTCATACCCGTTACTGACCGGCAAGGGTCCGATCTGATCCATGGAGATGATTTCCCATGGTGCGTTTGGAACTGCATGCGGGTGCAAACTCCCTGTCCTGGCTCTTCTGGTCTTGGTCCGCTGGCACGCCTCGCATGTCTGGATGTATTTCCGAATTTGGTTTCCCATCCTTGGCCACCAGTAGTTCCTTTCCACCATCTCCTGCGTTCGGTTGATCCCAGCGTGTCCGACCAAAGGGGTGTCGTGGTGTAGTCCGATGATCTTGTCCCGCAACTCCTCGTCCCTTGGTACATAGAGCTTCCCATGATACGTGATAAGCCCTTCTTCCTTCTTCCATCCGACGAGTGACTTCTCTAAGGCCGCCTTGACGCTTCCATCAATTGATCGAATGGCCTTGATTTCATCGATTAGCTGCTGGTCCTGTCCCTCGAATGCGACTTCTTGTGATCGGAAGAACTCGGGCTTCAGTAGCGTGACGTCCTTGTTGTCGTTCTTGCCCTGATTGTGATCTGCTCGTCGAGATAAGAGATCCGCCTTGCGGTTGAGTGCGCCGGGCCGTTGTCACAAGGTGAAATCAAACTCCGCCAACTCCGTGATCCATCGTGCTTGCCGTCGATTGAGCTTCTGCGGCTTCCGGAAGTACTCAAGATTCTGATGATCAGTGAAGATCTCGAACGTCTCCGTGGCTCCCAGTAGTAGCTGTCTCCATTTGTCCAATGATAGCATGATTGCAAGCATTTCCTTGTCGTAGATCTCGTAATTTCGCTCGGTTTCGGTCAGTGCGTGCGAAATAAATGCGATTGGGCGCCAAATGCCGTCTTGGTTTTGGCTCAAAACTGATCCTGTTGCCCCTTCCGAAGCATCGGCTTCCAGACGATATTGGCCAGTGTCATTTGGCAGTGCTAGGACCGCATCCTCCGCGATTCTCTTCTTCAATCCATCAAATGCCGCATGTTCATCTGCACCCCATGACCATCCTGCCTTTCCTGTCAGCCGTGTCAATGGCTTGGCAACCTCCGCGTATCCCCGGACAAAGCGCCGATAGAAGTTTGTGAATCCAAGGAAAGCTTGGACCTGTTTGACACTCTTTGGTTCTGGCCATTCCATCACGCCCTTGATTTTGACTGGGTCCATCCGCATCGAATTGTGTCCAATAATTACACCCAAATATTCGATTTCCGTGCGTTCGAACTCGCACTTTTCGGGCTTCGGGTATAGCTTGTGTTTCTGGAGCAATTCGAGCACTCGTTTCGTGATCCGCCGATGTTCGTCCAAGTTTTCTGTAAAGATCAGTATATTGTCTAGATAGACTACCACGTGACCCTCGTTGATCAACTCTCGGAGTATGTTGTTCATCATGTTTTGGAACGTTGCCGGGGAATTTGTGAGACCGAAGAACATAACTAAGGGCTCGTACAGCCCTCGGTTCGTGCGGAATGCAGCCTTCCACTCGTCGCCCTCTTTGATACGTACATTGTTGTACCCCCACCGGATGTCAAGTTTTGTGAAGAACTTGGCGCCACATAGATTATGGACTAGTTCGGATATCAGCGGCAGCGGGTATCGATTCCGAATCGTCATTTCATTCAGCTTCCGATAGTCTTGGACGGGGCGTAGGGAGCCATCCTTCTTCTTGACAAAGAAGAATGCTGATGCCATGGGTGATTTTGATGGCCTGATCCGTCCACTGGCCAGGTTCTCTTGTAAGAATTCGTCGAGTTTGACTTGTTCATTGCGTGATAGTGGGTACACCTTGCAGTCCACTGCCTTGGAACCAGGTTTGAGCTCGATTGCGTGATCCCATGCCCGTCGGTCTGGTAGCGAGTCGAACGATTCCTTGGCGAATACTTTGACAAATTCCCGATATTGATCCGGAATCTTCCCCTCCGTCATCCTCTCCTTCTCTTTTTCCGCTTCTTCTGCGAATTTCTGCGCCGGCGTTTCCTTCAGCCGCAGATCCACTTCCTTCCCAAAATCGACCAACAGGATCGATTCTCCCTCTTCCAGATCCGGTGTGCCCGTGTCCAGGTCGATTGCATCCATGTCAATCATTGCTTGATGTTCCTCGTGACCCCTCATGTGACACCGCTCTGGGCATTGGCTGAATCTCATGGTCTGCTCCTGCCAATCCACCTCGGGGTTGTGTTCCGTCAGCCAATCAAGACCAATGAAGATCCGAGCTTTTCCTAAACACGTCAGAAGGAACGTGCGTGTCTCCACGTGAGGGCCGATTCTCATCCTTAGGTCAACGTAATGCGTGATCCGACCGCTGATGTTCTCGGTGTTGTCGGCGTTACGGGCCACAATGGGTTGTGGAAGCTCTTGAATATCCAACTTCTCCGCCCGTGCGTAGTCGGTATCGATGCAACAGGTACTGCAGCCGCTATCGAGCAGCGCCTTGACTCCGCGCATTTTCCCTGAGTCCAGACCCGTGATCTGGACATATACGTCCATTGAATGTCTCTTCCTTTCGGCCTGGTAGTCGCGCAATTCCTGCGCCAGTCTGCCGGGCTGCGGGCCCTTCTGTCTCTCGGCCGCCAATTTCCTTTGAACGGCATCTGGCACCCTTGTGCGTTTGGGTGCTTCTGGAACCTTGGTTTCGGCAGATTCCTTGGGCGCTTCCTCCTTTTTCAAGGATTGAGCCTCCAGAGCAATGCTCCCCTTTTCGGTCTTTGTTGACGTGGTTCCTTCTCCACGAGCCATAAATACGTAGGAGTCCAAAATTAATTTATCCGCAGTTTTTTGATCCTTTTTACTCTGTAAATACTCTCTATTTAAAGCTATTTTCCTTTGTCGTTCTTTTTCCATATCAGCAACAAGAAAATCATGAATATTAGTACGTAGGGAGTCTGAGATTGTGTATGCATGAGGAGAATCGTTCATATCTCTAATCGAAACAAGTATAGAAAAACGTCCATAGTCCGGACGCTCCACCTCCTTGGCTAGAGGAGTGGAGCGCTTCAAAAACCCTTCTCGCGCAGCTTCTCGGCAATCTCCTTGAGGAACTCGTTGTCCTTATCCCCGTTCTCGATCTCTTCCAGCATTGTGGCCCGATTGAAGAACGTGCGCTTCTTCTTGGGCTCCGGACAATTCCGCGCAATGTGCCCAGGCTGCTGACAGTTGTAGCAGATGATATTGCGGCCGCGGGCGTGGGTGCGATCGATTTCCATCGGGACTGGTTCGTTGGCAGCGGGTCGGGCCGGGGCGGGTGCAGGTGTCATTGGGGCTACCTGCGGGCGAAATTGGGGAGGCGGTCGTGGTGCGGATTGCGCATGCAATGCTTTGCGCAGCTGATCGCGTAGAGCGTTCGCCTCGATGTTGACACACCAATTCTTGAAGGCACCATATGCCTTGGGCAGGGGGACGCCAGTGTTGTAGAGGCGGCTTGCAATTTCGCTGCTGAGTCCGCGCTCCAGGAACTCGATGAGGATATTGTCCTGTTCCCCCTTCTTGTACTCGCCCTTGCTGTCGGTGGAGGTGACCACGTTGTACCCCGCGTCTGCAGCCAGCATTTCGAAGTCGGAGATGTAGTCCGCGAAGGACCGTCTGCCCTGGCGAAGGGCCATGAGTCGGGCGGCAGCGACTTGCTCTGCGTTAGAATCCCCAAAGGCCCTCTGAAGCTCCTCTAAGAAGCTTGTCGCGGTGACTCCCGCCTTTAGTCCTTGGAAGCCCTCGAAATTGTGCTGCTTCCAGTTCATCGCCCATCTTGAGGCGGCGCAGCTTGTGCCGCTCTCATTGCGGAGGTAGGACAGGACGAAGAGGATTTTCGTCTCGTCCAGCGAGAACTCTGACCGATAGGCACCGATGTAAGTGGTGCACGCGTCCACAAAGCCCAGGTACTTGGACTTGTCGCCATCGAAGTAGGGGGATTGGCGGCGAGGGTGATGCGGTGATGTCCTGACATGGTAGGAGCAGGTGCAGTAGGTGGGGGCGAGGGTGGTTGTTCGGAGGGTAACTCGCCAAGGTCGGGGAACTCGTCTTCAGGCGGCGGAAGGGCGAGGTAGGGGTTGGAGGGCCCGGGTTGGTTTTGATGCGCCAGATCGGGCGACGATGGTATGATGGGGGGAGGGGATGGACTCCCAGATGACGATGGGAATCGGTACGAAATGGTGGATTCGTGTGCTGTACAAGCACTCGAGGAAAGGTTCTTTTGCTAGCAAAAAGATCCCGGGCCTAGCTCTTCACGTGCCCGATGATCCCGAGGTGCGTTTTCCCGAAGGTCTCCGCAGCACTCCTTGTAGCTACCGTAAGGCTTGGGTCGGGCTCAACGTTACCCGTGTGTCATAGTTCGGCCACTTTTTCATCTTATCATCGACGATCTTATCTTATCTTGGCACGACTTATCTTATCACGGATCACGGCATCAGACGGTCCGGACTAGGGGTTCCAGGGATTGTCTTCATCGATTCGAGGCTGCGCGACATATGCTCCAGAAGGTTCTACTACGACCCATGACCAGCGTTCCATGCGGTACATAGCCCTATGACTCATTAGTTGTAGATATGACTCAGACTGGATTTGGGTATAAATACTGTAGCTACTTGGTTGTATTCTCCAGTTTTCGAATTCACTTCTCTTTTCGACTTGTTTTTGGGTTGATTGTCACATAATTCGAAAACTCCCCTCATACCCTCCTACCTCATACCTCTTACCCTGCATCTGGCACCGCTACGCCCGCTATATCCTCTTAACCCTTATCACCCCACTCACCCTTTTACCGAATCATCTAGTCGTCCTCCACTATCGCAGTGAAGGGTTCATATCAAGCAAACAGCACCAGGCCACGGGTAACGTTGAGCCCGACCCAAGCCTTACGGTAGCTACAAGGAGTGCTGCGGAGACCTTCGGGAAAACGCACCTCGGGATCATCGGGCACGTGAAGAGCTAGGCCCGGGATCTTTTTGCTAGCAAAAGAACCCTCCCTCGAGTGCTTGTACAGCACACGATTCCACCATTTTGTACCGTTTCCCATCGTCGTCTGGGAGTCCGTCCCCTCCCCCCATCGTACCATCGTCGCCCGATCTGGCGCATCAAAACCAACCCGGGCCCTCCAACCCCTACCTCGCCCTCCCACCGCCTGAAGACGAGATCCCCGACCTCGACGAACTGCCCTCCGAACAACCACCCTCGCCTCCACCTCACACGCCTGCCCCTACCATGTCAGGGCATCACCGCATCACCCTCGCCGCCAACCCCCCCTACTTCGATGGCGACAAGTCCAAATACCTGGGCTTTGTGGACGCGTGCACCACTTACATCGGTGCCTATCGATCGGAGTTCTCACAAGATGAGACCAAAATCCTCTTTGTCCTCTCCTACCTCCGTAACGAGAACGGCACGAGCTGCGCTGCCTCGAGATGGGCGATGAACTGGAAGCAGCACAACTTCGATGGCTTCCAGGGACTGAAGGCAGGAGTCACATCAAAGAACTTCCTGGAGGAGTTTCAGAGGGCATTCGGGGACTCCAATGCGGAACAAGTCGCCGCTGCTCGGCTTATGGCCCTGCGTCAAAACAAACGGTCCTTCGCGGACTACATCTCCGACTTTGAGATGTTGGCCGCGGATGCAGGCTACAATGTGGTTGACACCACCGACGACAAAGGCGAATACAAGAAGGGGGACCAGGATAATATCCTCATCGAGTTCCTGGAGCGCGGACTCAGCAGCGAGATCGCCAGCCGTCTCTACAACACCGGTGTCCCTCTGCCCAAGGCCTATGGAGCGTTCAAAGCCTGGTGCATCAACATCGAAGCCAATGCTCTGCGTGACCAGCTGCGCAAAGCGTCGTATGGGCACCCCACACAACGACCACCTCCCCAGTTCCGTCCCCAAACGGCACCAGTGGCGCCCACACCCGCTCCGGCCCGACCCGCTGCCAACGAACCGGTTCCGATGGAAATCGATCGTACCCACGCCCGCGGCCGCAATATCATCTGCTACAACTGTCAGCAGCCCGGGCACATTGCGCGGAACTGCCCGGAGCCCAAGAAGAAGCGCACGTTCTTCAATCGGGCCACAATGCTGGAAGAAATCGAGAACGGGGACAAGGACAACGAGTTCCTGAAGGAGATTGCCGAGAAGCTGCGCGAGAAGGGTTTTTGAAGCGCTCCACTCCTCTAGCCAAGGAGGTGGAGCGTCCGGACTATGGACGATTTTCTGTACTTGTTTCGATTAAAGATACGGACAATATTTCATCTACATACACGATCTCAGACTCACTACGTACAAATGTTCACGATTTTCTTATTGCCGAGATGGAAAAAGAACGCCAGGAAAAGATAGCTCTAAATAGAAAATACTTACAAGATAAAAAAGATCAGAAAGCTGCAGATAAATTATTTTTGGACTCCTACGTATTTATGGCTCGTGGAGAAGGAACCACGTCAACAAAGACCGAAAAGGGGAGCATCGCTCCGAAGGCTCGATCCTTGGAAAAGGAGGAAGCGCCCAAGGAATCTGCCAAAATCAAGGTTCCAGAAGCACCCAAACGCACCAGGGTGCCAGATGCCATCCAGAGGAAATTGGCGGCCGAGAAACAGAAGGGCCCCCAGCCCAGCAGATTGGCGCAGGAATTGCGCAGTTACCAAGCCGAAAGAAAGAGGCATTCGATGGACGTATATGTCCAGATCACGGGCCTGGACTCAGGGAAAACGCGTGGAGTCAAGGCGCTGCTCGATAGTGGCTGCAGTACCTGCTGCATCGACACCGACTACGCACGGGCAGAAAAGCTGGATATCCAAGAGCTTCTGCAACCCATTGTGGCTCGTAACGCCGACAACACCGAGAACATCAGCGGTCGGATCACGCACTACGTCGACTTGAGAATGAGAATCGGTCCTCATGTGGAGACACGCACGTTCCTTCTGACGTGTCTGGGAAAAGCCCGGATCTTCATCGGCCTGGATTGGCTGACGGAACACAACCCCGAGGTGGATTGGCAGGAGCAGACAATGAGATTCAGCCGATGCCCAGAGCAATGTCAAATGAGGGGTCACGAGGAGCACCAAGCGATGATCGACATGGATGCAATTGACCTGGACGCGGGTGCACCGGATCTGGAAGAGGGAGAATCAATCTTGTTGATCGACTTTGGAAAGGAGGTAGACCTACGGCTGAAGGAAACGCCGGCGCAGAAATTCGCAGAAGAAGCGGAAAAGGAGAAGGAGAGAATGACCGAGGGAAAGCTTCCAGATCAATACCGAGAATTCGTCAAAGTATTCGCCAAGGAATCATTCGACTCGCTACCGGACCGACGGGCATGGGATCATGCAATCGAGCTCAAACCAGGCTCCAAAGCAGTGGACTGCAAGGTGTACCCACTATCACGCAATGAACAAGTCAAACTCGACGAATTCTTACAAGAGAACCTGGCCAGTGGACGGATCAGGCCATCAAAATCACCCATGGCATCAGCATTCTTCTTTGTCAAGAAGAAGGATGGCTCCCTACGCCCCGTCCAAGACTATCGGAAGCTGAATGAAATGACGATTCGGAATCGATACCCGCTGCCGCTGATATCCGAACTAGTCCATAATCTATGTGGCGCCAAGTTCTTCACAAAACTTGACATCCGGTGGGGGTACAACAATGTACGTATCAAAGAGGGCGACGAGTGGAAGGCTGCATTCCGCACGAACCGAGGGCTGTACGAGCCCTTAGTTATGTTCTTCGGTCTCACAAATTCCCCGGCAACGTTCCAAAACATGATGAACAACATACTCCGAGAGTTGATCAACGAGGGTCACGTGGTAGTCTATCTAGACGATATACTGATCTTTACAGAAAACTTGGACGAACATCGGCGGATCACGAAACGAGTGCTCGAATTGCTCCAGAAACACAAGCTATACCCGAAGCCCGAAAAGTGCGAGTTCGAACGCACGGAAATCGAATATTTGGGTGTAATTATTGGACACAATTCGATGCGGATGGACCCAGTCAAGATCAAGGGCGTGATGGAATGGCCGGAACCAAAGAGCGTCAAACAAGTCCAAGCCTTCCTCGGATTCACAAACTTCTATCGACGTTTTGTTCGGGGATATGCGGAGGTCGCCAAGCCGTTGACGCGGCTGACAGGGAAGGCAGGATGGTCATGGGGCCCGGATGAACATGCGGCGTTTGATGGGTTAAAGAAGAGAATCGCGGAAGATGCCGTCTTAGCACTGCCAAATGACACCGGTCAATATCGTCTGGAAGCCGATGCTTCGGAAGGGGCAACAGGATCTGTTTTGAGCCAAAAACAAGACGGCATTTGGCGCCCAATCGCATTTATTTCACACGCATTGACCGAAACCGAGCGAAATTACGAGATCTACGACAAGGAAATGCTCGCGATCATGTTATCACTTGATGAATGGAGGCAGCTACTCTTGGGGGCCACAGAAACGTTTGAGATCTTCACTGATCATCAGAACCTCGAATACTTCCGGAAGCCACAAAAGCTCAACCGACGACAAGCACGATGGATCACAGAATTAGCAGAATTCGATTTCACCTTACGACACCGGCCTGGCGCACTCAACCGCAAGGCGGATCTCTTATCTCGACGAGCGGATCACGATCAGGGCAAGAACGACAACAAGGATATCACTCTGCTGAAACCCGAATTCTTCCGGTCACAAGAAGTCACATTCGAGGGGCAAGATCAGCAGCTAATCGATGAGATCAAGGCTACTCGATCAATTGATGGAAGCGTCAAAGCGGCCTTGGAGAAGTCACTCGTCGGATGGAAAAAGGAAGATGGGCTCATCACGTACCATGGGAAGCTCTACGTACCGAGGAATGAGGAGCTACGAGACAAGATCATCGGACTACACCACGACACACCTTTGGTCGGACACGCTGGGATCAACCGAACGCAGGAGATGGTGGAAAGGAACTACTGGTGGCCAAGGATGGGAAACCAAATTCGGAAATACATCCAGACGTGCGAGGCGTGCCAGCGGACCAAGACCAGAAGAGCCAGGACAGGGAGTTTGCACCCGCATGCAGTTCCAAACGCGCCGTGGGAAATCATCTCCATGGATCAGATCGGACCCCTGCCGGTCAGTAACGGGTATGACGCAATTCATGTGTGGTGTGACACCTTCACCAAAATGATCCATGTCGAACCAATTAGTACTGACATCAGCAGCGAAGGAGTAGCACGGTTAACCAGGGACCGAATCTTCCGCTATCACGGGGTCCCCCGCAAAATCATCACCGACAGGGACTCTCGATACATCAAGGGCTTTATGAAGGAAACGAATCGGATGTTGGGCGTGGAAATGAATCCGGGGACCGCATATCACCCCATCACGGATGGGCAGACGGAGCGTATGAATCAGGAGATCGAACACTATCTCCGCATTTACGTCAACTACCATCAGACGGACTGGTCGGAGTGGCTGGGAATGGCGGAGTTCGCATACAACGACAAAATGAACACGTCTACCAAAATGTCGCCGTTCTATGCTAATCACGGATATCACCCATGGAAGGGAGTGGAGCAAAGGATGGAATCAAGGAACGAGTCGGCGGAGGAATTTGTAAAAAGAATCAAAGAAATACAAGACGAAGCAAAAGCAGCATTGGAAAAAGCAAATGAAAAAATGAAAAAACACTACGATAAGCAAAGAAAAGAAGTTCCGGAGTTGAAGGTGGGGATGAAGGTGTACATAGAGGGGGACAATATCGAGACGGACAGGCCTTCGAAGAAGATGAGCGACAAGAGATTGGGGCCATACGAGGTACTGGAGAAGGTTGGAGCGGCCGCATGGAAGCTGGATTTACCGGATACGGACCGAAGACACCCCGTGTTCAACGAGTCACTGTTGACGCCCTATCACGAACCACCCCCCCATCGCCAAGAGAAGAGACCCGTAGCCAGGATGATCAGAGGAGCAGAAGAGTGGGAAGTCGAAGAGATTGTGAAAGAACGGAAAGTCGGCCGAGGGAAACAGTACTTGGTCAAATGGAAGGGATGGCCACATAGCAAGAACACCTTGGAACCATCATGTCACCTTACCCACGCAAAGAGAGTCCTGAGAGATTGGCAGAGGAAACAATCCAACCCAGACACACGCATTCGCCTCCTGCCAACGCTCAAAACTGGACACTGGGATTATCTCATTCATCGCTACAAGCCCAGAGACGAACACCTTCCATACCCTCAACGACAACTCTTCGACCCTTATGAGAACGTCTTCACACCCATTGGCCTAGTCAATGAGGACATCGACCCTAGAGAGGGGGTAATGTCATAATTCGGCCACTTTTTCATCTTATCATCGACGATCTTATCTTATCTTGGCACGGATCACGGCATCTGACGGTCCGGGCTAGGGGTCTAGGGGTATCTTTATCGATTCGAGGCTGCGCGACATATGCTCCGGAAGGTTCTACTACAACCCATGACCAGCGTTCCATGCGGTACATAGTCTTATGACTCATTAGTCGTAGATATGACTCAGACTGGACTTGGGTATAAATACTGTAGCTACTTGGTTGTATTCTCCAGTCTTCGAAATCACTTCTCTTTTCGACTTCATTTTTGGGTTGATTGTCACAAGACAAAGCCAATAGGGAAGGTGAAGATGTGTAACTGGATATTGCAATTGATGCAGGGCCCAGTGCGGGGTCTGGTGCAGGGTCTGGTGCCGGGTCTGATGCGGGGTCTGGTGGGGGAGCAGGGGCAGGGGTGGATTACACAAAATTTTGATGTATCTACTCTGGCTAGGGTTGTAGAATATCACGTAACTTTTCTCTATTTTGGCAGGGAATTGGGGATAAAGATACACAACATTGCCCGCATGTTTTGGCTGGGTCTCCAGGTCAAGTCATGTGATTTACCAATGTTTCGGTGGGAGGTAGGAGATTAATGGATGATGTTACCTATATAATCCATGGCATGTGAAGTCAAGCAGAACATGTGATTTTCTCATTTTTTGGCTGGCAGGATGGGTGGCATAGTAGATTGGCAGACCAGGGTCCACACTCCACTCATTGATTGTTTGCTTTACCCATTTAATAATATATATGTGTAGCACAGTGGTATCCATTTTTGGAGCTTGTAATAGAACATATTAGGTACACATCTCATCCCCCCCTTCCTGGCTGAATGCACTTGAGGTTTGAAACTTGTGTGTTCCCTTGCAAGCGATCTGCTTGGGTTTCAGCATGAATTCATTAAATAGAGTGGATTTGAGGTGAACTATATTCATTACTCGGTGTGATGTGAGAGGATGTATTTACTGGCAAGTTGTCCCACAATAGTCAGAGCTTGGTTATCAGTGCAAATTTGACATGTAAACTCTTAACAACTTGTGTCTTGGCTTGTATCTTTTGGAAGACCAACTGCAAACACATGGCTGATTGTTTTTACCAATGAGTCTCTACCCACCCCAGCCATGACCACCTGCCTGCACCCCCGCCTTCACCCCCGCCAGCACCCCCGCAACTACCCTGCCACTGATTGACCCCCGCCATCACCCCTGCCCCACCGGTGCCTCAGCCCCTGCCATCTCCGAATATGTAATATTATGTAAAGTGACAGCCCGGAACATATCAAGTCAGTAGCCAATCAGGGCCTGTATAAACGTCGTACCTAACTATGTTTTGCTCTTCTGAGACTGTTTTTACATATATGCAGCTGAAAACCATCGGAATTATGTCTCCTTATGCTGTTCTTGTTGAATATAATGCCACTTCATGTCCTCTGTCAGCCCAAAATTCGAAACATGGAAACAGCTCATAGTGACTCAATGTTCCTATATGTCAGGGGAACCCCCGCTTTGGACCGCTCTGCCTTCGATCAGGCATGTGATCGCGCTTGCGTGACCTGTCAGCTGTCACGTGCCGCGGCCCGGACTGCCACGCCAAGCGCTTCTCTCTGATGGGCACATGGTCAGCTGTCCCATCATTCCCACTGTCTCAGTTTCCTATTGTTCTCCAACGGCCATTGTACTTATTGTTCCCATTGTTCTTTGTTTGTCGCTGCGCGCTCTATTGTTCTTGTATCATATAAATAGTGGCGCCTGGCAAGGAGAATCCCCAACACGGTTTCTCTTTGGATTCTCCCTTGCCAGGTATGCCGGTCTTGTACCTAGCTACCACTATTGACACTTTGGATTCTCCCTTGCCAGAACTCTGAGATCAGGTCTCGAGGTTGCCCTTACAGCAGAAACCGTGTTCCTAGGGATAACTGGTCAAGATTGCGAGGTTCGACGCCGATAGTAACAGCGGAGACGAGTCAACGAGCGACCAAGACCGCCAATCCGTCACCTCTTTGCTTGCCCCCTCCTCCCCTCTGTCAGGGGAACCCCTGCTTTCGTCTGATCACCATGGGATCTCGCATGTGACCGCGCACGTGCCATCTGTCAAGCGTCACATGCTTCGGTCCGGACTTCCCTGCCAAGCACTTCCACATGACACTCCGGCCCGGACCCCCATTGTCCCGACGGTCCGGCTCCCATTGTTCCCCCCGATCCGGCCCCTCATCGTCCCCTGGCCCCATTGTCTGGCGCTTCCATTGTGCTTGGTCATCCATTGTTCTGTAGGCTATATATAGTGGGCCCTGACAAGGAGAGTCCCCAACTCGGTTTCTCTTTGGACTCTCCCTTGTCAGGTTTGCCAGTCTCCTGTACTAGTCGATCCTCTTATCTGACGCTTTGGACTCTCCCTTGTCAGGACTCTGAGATCGGGCCTCGAGGTTGCCCTTACACCCTCCACAAGCACACTCGACCAGCATGGAAGACGACAACTCCCAGCATCGACTGTCCGCCCTGGAGACCAGCATCCAAAACATCGAAGCCGTACTCAATCGGCTCCTCAACCAACCACAACCCCCTGCCCCTGCCCCTGCACCAGCTCCGGCAGTGGGTCCAGGTGTTTCTGCTGGCTCGCAGCCGAACACTGCGCGCCCCCTCATCCGTCCCAACCCCCCCTTCTCGTTCGATGGGGATCACACCTTGGGCAAGAGCTTCTTGCACTCAGTGAAGCAGTACTGGCGACTGCTCCCCGAGGCGTTCTTCGTGAACGGGGTGGTCGCTGAGGAGAAGGTAGTCCGCTTCGCCCTCTCCTACATGTCCAAGGACTCAGCGGCCTCCTGGTCCGAGCGCATGTCCGAGCGCACCCCGTTCCCGTTCCCCACTTGGGCTCTGTTCGTCACCGAGTTCAAGCTCCGATTCGTCGAGGAGAACAAGCAAGACCACGCCTTGGCGCGGTTGGAAACCCATCAGTATTATATGGGCTCCTGCGACGTATTCAAGTACACAGACGAGTACGACGACCTCCTTGACCTCGCTGGTTATACCGACAACTTGGTCAAGGTGACCAAATATAGGACGGGCTTGGACCCGAGGATCAACCAAGCCATCACCACCTCTGGTAACCCTCCCAGCCTCACCGACTACGCCGAATGGCGTGTCCGTGCGTTCCGGCAGTACAATGCGGAACTTGCTGCCAGAGCTTCTCGAGGCCACGCAGCGCCTCCTCCCCGAGCGCCTGCTGTTGCCCCCCGTCCTCGTGCCCCAGTGCTCCCTGCTGTAGCACCGGCCCTCGCTGCCCGCCCGGCGCCCGCCCCTGTCGCCCATCCAATTCCCATGGAGGTAGACCGGGCCCGGCTCCGTGGTGACATTTGACGCACCTGCTTCTGCTGCGGCAGTCCGGGTCATCTTGCCCGTGACTGCCCCACCCCAGCTGACATACGTCACGCTGATGTACTTGATGAGGTCATCAATCAGCTGGGGAGTGATCTGCTTTCCGAGTTGGTTGCTCGGGTCGTGACCACTGCAGCTGTTGCGGATCATGCGTCCAACGTCGCAGCCGAGGAGGAGCAGGGTTTTCTCCCCAGCGACGAGTGAGTAGTATGCCCTCGTTCGCTTTGCGTAATCGTTTCTCCTGTTTGTATGATGAATCCAATTCCCTCCACTCTGCAACAGTTGAAGCGATAGACGTACACCCTGCTCCCCCTCTAACCCCACGAGTCCGTAAGGAGAAGTGGGAACGCAAGCTCCCTTCCTGCTATGTCGCTGCCGCCTCTCCCAGGGCCAATTCTCTCCACCTCCCCCTCGAGATCGAGTCCACCGACAACGCAGTGAAGTTATCTCTCAAAGGCCTGGTCGATTGTGGTGCCACATCCGACTTCATCGACTCGGCCTATGTCCTCGAAAATCACCTCCCCGTTCGTCGCCTCACCCAGCCTATCCCCGTTTACAACGTGGACGGCACGCCGAACAAGGCCGGTTCCATTCGCGAAGTTGCTGATGTGGTTCTCCATTACCAGGGCCACAGTGAATGCGTGCAGCTTGCTGTCACCCGTTTAGGCAAGCAGCAGCTCATTCTAGGGTACTCCTGGCTCCGGAAGCACAACCCAGAGATCAACTGGGATACCCAGGAGGTAAAGATGAGCCGTTGCCCTTCCGGTTGCTCCACCTGCCGGGAGGAACTTCGCGAAGGACGTTGATCTGCCAGAACCGCAGCCCGGGTGCTCCGCACCATCAGACAAGGTCCGGTTCCATCCATCTGCGCTGTCGACGTTGAGGACCACGAGGACGAAGAGATGCCGGAGCTTTTGCCAGACTCGGACGATTATGACCCTGAAGATGTCGAAGAAGATGACGACTCCTTGGAAGCCGGTGACCGTATCTTTTACACCCGCTTCAACCCTTCTGAAAACATCCGAGCCACCAGCACCGTCTCCCAGCGACTCGCCGAGGCGTTTGCTAAGAACTCTGCACCTCCTCGGGACACCATCCCCGAGTGGGCCCGCGAGTTCGAAGATGTTTTCAGCAAGGAGTCCTTCGACAACCTGCCAGAGCGACGCCCCTGGGATCACGCCATTGAACTGGTTCCTGACGCGAAGCCGACCAACTGTAAGGTCTACCCCATCTCCCCTCTCAAACAGAAGCAGCTCGACAGCTTCATCGAGGAGGGCATGGCTACTGGCAGGATTCGGCCGTCAAAATCGCCCATGGCGTCTCCCGTCTTCTTTGTGAAGAAGAAAGATGGCACCTTACGGTTTGTCCAAGATTACCGAGCGCTAAACGCGATGACAGTGAAGAACTGCTACCCGCTCCCCCTGATCAATGATCTCATCAACAAGCTCAAGGGAGCTCGGTTCTTCACCAAACTCGACGTTCGCTGGGGCTTCAACAACGTGCGCATTTGTCAAGGCGACGAGTGGAAGGCAGCGTTTCGGACAAACCGCGGGCTCTTTGAGCCGTTGGTGATGTATTTCGGCCTGACCAACTCCCCCGCAACGTTC